TAGTTGCTTATTACGAATCGCGCCTCCCCCTTGATGCAGATAATTTGATTACATAAATTTCTTAAAAGAAACATGAAGATTATAAGCCATGCTGGCATCACGAAGCCCAGTTTCTTGCTTGTACATTATGAGTTGTCTGCTCTTACATTCCGCAAACCGCAACTGATTTCGACTACGTCACTGTGCATTTCAAGTTATAATGAGAAGAGCCACGGATTGAAGCTTAGGCTGCACTGCTCTGCTTCTGGCAGAACTCTTTCATCTAGGTCGACAAACTTACGCTTGTCCAAGGAGGATAAATTAAATAGGAAGCAGGAACAAGTTTCTTCTGCTTCGTTGTATACTCATCCTAGTTTATTACAGATGAAGAATGAGAGGATAGCCAACCGTACCCGTGTTTATGAATTCTTGAGGAGTATTGGTGTTGTACCAGATGNTGAATTCTTGAGGAGTATTGGTGTTGTACCAGATGAGCTTGATGGCTTGGAGCTTCCTGTTACTGTTGAGGTTATGCAAGAGCGAGTGGACTTCCTTCACAAATTGGGGCTTACAATTGAAGATATAAACAATTACCCTCTTGTCCTTGGCTGCAGTGTGAAGAAAAACATGATTCCGGTGCTCGATTATCTAGGCAACCTGGGGGTGAGAAAATCCACTTTTACAGATTTTTTGCGCCGGTACCCACAAGTCCTCCACGCCAGTGTTGTTGTAGACCTTGCTCCAGTTGTAAAGTATCTTCAAGGCATGGACATTAAGCCTAATGATGTTCCTCGAGTTTTGGAGAAGTACCCAGAAGTTTTGGGATTTAAGCTTGAGGGAACCATGAGTACTTCAGTGGCTTATTTGATTGGAATTGGGGTAGCAAGACGAGAGATTGGTGGGCTATTAACTAAATACCCAGAGATATTGGGAATGCGAGTAGGTCGGGTGATCAAACCTTTTGTGGAATATCTGGAAAGCTTGGGGATACCAAGATTAGCTGTTGCTAGATTGATTGAGAAGCGACCTCACATTCTTGGATTTGGACTTGAAGAGAAGGTGAAACCTAATCTCAAATCCCTTTTAGAGTATCATGTTAGGCAAACATCACTTGCTGCTGTTGTCGTTCAGTATCCTGAAATCATAGGAATTGATCTGGAGACAAAGCTTCTCAACCAACAGGGGTTCCTCAATTCCATTATTGGATTGGCTCCAGATGAATTTGGGAGAGTCGTAGAGAAAATGCCACAGATCGTTTGCCTCAGTGACAGGGCAATAGTGAATCACGTGGATTTCCTCAAGGAATGCGGATTCTCCTCAGAACAAGTGAAGAAAATGGTTGTGGGGTGTCCCCAGTTGCTGGCTTTAAATACTGACATCATGAAACGCAGTTATGATTACTTCAAAACCACAATGGATAGGCCATTGGATGATTTGATTATGTTCCCTGCTTTCTTCACTTATGGTCTGGAATCAACCATTAAACCAAGACATAAGATGGTTGCTAAGAAGGGAGTGAAATGTTCGCTTGCATGGCTACTTAATTGTTCGGATGAGAAATTTGAAGAGCGGATGAATTATGACTCCATGGACATTGAAGAGATGGAAATGGAATCATCATTTGACTTCAATACTCTGATGGAACCAAGAAATGATGAGTCCTCTGATTATGAGGATGATACTGATGGCGAGTATTTATAGAATGAGCAGGCATGTGATAGCAGTCTGCACAAGGCAAAGGCTGCTGTGGAGAATCTGGAGATTTTATTAAATTTATTAGTATTTTTCATGGTATGTTATTCATTTTGAAGGTCTTGATTAAAAGTTGGGCAGCTTAATTTTGATGAGTAAGTCTGACTGGTTTGGTTGAAAGAGAGGCAATTTAAGATTTCTTTTTCATATTCCGTTTATTGGGGGTGGAGTGGGGTGAGCACACAGGCATGGAGGAAGCAGGGACAGATCCAGGACCGGACTACAAGCCGGGCTAATACGTAGAAAAAAATTAATTTACACAAAAATAAAAAATTTAAAAGTTTTTTTTTTTACACTAAAAAAAGATAAGGGACTGGGCCGGTAAAATCCATCTCTGAGTGATTTGGTTTGGTTTGGGTTGGGTTGCATATGACGAGTTACTGTATCCTTCTATTGATGTATAACTAGGATGATCCCTTGTTGCATTCTGTATAATGTTTTAGTTTATGTAGAACAACAGGTCACTGTTAACATGTTCAGTTTCGATTCTCATTATGCGACATTTTCAATTTTCTTGTCAGGTGTTCTGCAAACAGAAAATGCTTGTTTTATCTGTTCTGTTTTTTATTAGCCTCTCTCCCCCTGATTAGTTTGGTTCAAAATTTCTTCAATGTTACCTCTTTAGCTTCTACTAGTTATCGTTTGAGAAAATTGAGGTTGTTAAAGTCCTGCACTAACACTTGTTGCTGCCGTGCCAGCTCAGCAGCATAGGGGAAGTGATGTTAAGGCAAACAGAGAGAGCGACAGGATGGGAAAGAGGCAGAGAATGCGTACACCACTCGGGATTTGTCGTGTTCGACTTGTTCTTGGTTTTGTTCTTCACTAATGTTATTATTTTTATGTTCCCTACTTATTTCCTGGTCTAGACTGCACGCTCGGTGCTTATTATTGTCTTGCTATACCCGTATGCTGCGTGCTAAATGGCTACATTGTACTTGTTTTAGCATATGGCTATATGGCACGAGGTTCTCTTGCATATTGGAGTTAGCCTGCCTAGCCACTTTTGTTATACCCTCACTTGAAGAAATTCTTATGTGGCGTGTTTGTTAGGTTGAAATTTAGTCGTGTATTCAAAGGTTGCACGTGTGAATTTATTGATAGCTCGCATACCCATGCCTGGAGCCTTGTGATTTGGCCTTTACCTGCAATTGTTTATAGAATCTTGTAATGTATTCACAATCAAAAGGAGTAATGTTATTTATCCCCAGTGGGGTTACAAACAAAGTATAGGTGGTTCTAAATGATAGGTTAAATGAAAAGTTCATTTAATTTCACCTATCATTTAATGTCACATCCACCTAGATTCAAGGGGTAGATTTGGATCATTTTGTTCTTGAGAAATGGCCCATTCCTTTGCGCATACCATAAACCCCTAGTCGTGAACTTGCTTTAACTTTACAAAATCAAGAAAGTAAATCAGAGGAAGGGGAGTATTCACTATACTTGATGGAGAATCGATAGAACTCTCCCCACTTGTTCCGACTTTGATTCGACCTCAAGATACACGTGTAAATTTAATTTAATTTATTTTTATTATTATTTGAACTGAGAATTTAGGACATTGATTTTTACAATACGGTTGTTGAGAATTCCCAACCTATTAGTATCTCTAGTCTTATTTTGGGATTAAAAAGGTTGATTCAAAAGCCCAAAACAAACTCGTCCAAAAAAAATAATATTAAACAACCAAATCAAATCAAACAAAAACTTGCCAAAGTTGATTTCTTAAGTCTTTCCAAATCTCCCAATTTAGATATGGTTTTTTTCCCTTTGTACATAATAGCCTACACATAAGGCTTACAGAAATCTCACATGGGAGTGGGCACTCCATGTGAATATTTTATTGCAAAAAAAAAAAACACGACCCCGCCTTGATGTGTCTTATCTGGAGGGGTTCTGCGACCCCTCCTTCTGTACACGCAGTCCCTCTCGATATTAGAAAGGCAATCAAGTGAGTTTTGTTGCTAAAAAAGAAATTATAAAAGAAAAACCCTATTTATATTTTTTCCATCTACCTTCTATATTAAAGTCACGATCATTTAATCAAACGTCAAAGAATGAATTATATAGCCGACTTCAAACTTAGTAAGAATTGACGTTGGTGATGGCATTGTATCTTAATCCATATAAATAATAACGAGGGAATGTCATAATATTGGAATTAATGAATGGCAATGAATTTCAACTAACTTATTAGCTATAATAATAAATGAAAAAACAATGAGGATGATGTTGGGACCTTTATACAGTTGGTTCATGTCTACTATTTTGTTGCTTTGCTTCCACAGCCACAGACTCAAGAATTAAAGCCCCACGCACCCGACATTGTAGATAGACGAGTACTCTCCATCTTAATCTATACTGACATACGCACACGCACGCACGCATGCATACATTACATTATAACGTGATCGACAAGTTATTGCCTTGTCTCATCACAACATGGCATTTGGGATGCTGAGGCTGCTTCTCTGTCTTTGAAGGGAACATTGAGGTTTAGTGATAAGGGTAATTCCTATGGCCATAATGCACCTTAGACCTTGAGGTTTACGACATGGCGATAAAGCTCTAGTCGGAACTAAAACAAGTTAATATATTATATTTGCATTGTTTAATCAAATTTAGTATTGTGTATCAAACATGACAGGCTTATAGAATATTTTTGTTAATTCGATGTTATTATTGAGTTATATTCTGTATTGATAGCTACTTCGTGAACAATCAACCCATTGAATTGTAGAAAATGAATAGCTTTGATCTAAACTTGGTGATCCTAAAAGGACCTAATGAGTTTATCAAGTTGCATGTGTTTGTTTGTAATAGTTCATCGACTGATGAGCTATAGTATAAGTCGAGTAACTTTGATAGGTGTGTAAAAATAAATCGATGGCTGTCTTACCTTGATAATTAATGTATCATATCTGAGGGATACTTTAGGCGACTCTTACGAGTTCAAAGTTAGAAGACAGTTTGAATTTGTAAACATTCACGTAGAACCAGGGGATACGGTGGGGGAAGCGGAGAGGCGACCAATTGACAATTTTTTGATGAGTTAGATATTATCGTAATAGATGGCACTAGCAAAAATATATAGAGTTACGATAGTAGAAATGAAATCGAAAAGATGAATAAATTCAAATAAATTATTTAGTCTTAAAATCTCAATAATTATTTCCATAAGTAAATAACATCATGTCAAGTACCACTTTATATAATGATGCCATAGTTGCCTTTCATGGTCTAGAAAAGTAGCATTAATTAGCTTCAAAGCATAAAAAGTATACAGATAATTTAGAAGGGACCTGGATGGACTATGTCAGAAAAGTTGTGGGACCAGAAAACAATGAATTATTGAATAATTTTAGAAGTACAAGATACATGATTGAAAATAATTATTAAGAAAATATTAATTTTTTCTACATATTATCCGATTCATTAATCAAAAAATGTGGACAAAGAAAAATATTCATATTTCACACCATGGTCCCCAATCTATGTTCTAGTAAAAGTTAATCCTCAGTCTTTTATTATAGCTGAAGGACTAGTTCTTAATTTGAAATTTATCCAAATTTGTGTTGAATCACCACGTAATCCTCATTTGTCTAATTTTATGAAGCTACAAGTGTTGCTCCAGATATATGTTTTCGTGATGTTCGTGTCATACTGTTGCACAAATTTTTCCATCATTGCTAATTGATTTTGTTATTATAGTAAAATATTCAAAATTAACTTACTATTAGACCAACTTGTTACAAACTTCCACATTTTATTCTACTTGTACAGGCCCAAGTGGCCTGTACAAGTAGCACCGCTCAACTTACAATAGCTGTCAAAGTCAATCCGCACCTGACCACTCATTCAGAAAAGTTGGAAGCTAGTGAAATTATATGCTTTAAATACTGAAACCAATTAAAATTACTAAAGAACGGACCGATTTTGATGCCTAAATTTTGTATTTATTTAATTTAGCTAACCTCGATTTTATCTCAAATTGATCATTTTGCGCTTGACCCTTTTTATTTTCTACATCAATGCTTAGTTCAATATTTAGCAGTTGTTTGACATTTATTTTTTAAATTTAATTTTTTTCGTAAATATATTTTATGAAATTCATAATTCTCATCAACTTTTCAATCATATTTATCAAAATTTACTAAAAAATTGATTTTTAAACAAACCAAATAGAAGCTTAAAACCTTCCTCAGTATTAAGTCAATAGGTAGAGGATCAATAAGTGCAATTTTCCAAGAAAAGTACTATATGAGAAAGAGAAACTGAAAAAGTTTTGACCCCAACACCCCCTCCAATTCTGATTCGCCTAAATAGTCCATGAAATGGGGTCCCATCCAATTTTTATATTAATATTGGAAACATCTCTCTCTCTCTCTCCTCCACTTGTTCGTTGTTGTCACAGGCACAAAACCGACAAGAAACAGCTTCTTTATCCCTCTTTTTCTTTGCCAAAGGCCCAAAGCTAAGCCCTCCTCATGCTTGATTAAGTGCTTTTCTTATTCCTGTTCTTTCAAGTTCTGTTCTTTTCCGGGTTCTTGTAGTTTATAGGTATGTGGCCTTTTAGGTTTCGAGATTCTCTTTTTGGGTTGTTGTTTATACTCTTTGATTGTGGATCTGTCTTGGGAATTGCGTAATTATTGTGGGTTTTGTATCAAGATTTTATTTTTGGACAATTTTACCATTACTTGGTCTCTGATTACCTGTTCTATGAATATATAAATGAAATTATTGCATGCTATTATGAAACTGCCATATTTACTTTTTTGGGTGGCCCTTGATTCCTGCATCTACTTTTCCCAAATTCTCTTTTTTCAGGTTTTCAGGAAGTGATTTTGATTTTTAATTCTTTAATATCTTATGTTGATTCAACTTTGATTAACTTGTTGCAATTCCCATATATTTGAAAATTCTGGTCCATGATAATCTTCATCACTGATTGATTCCACGATTTAGATGTGATTCTGGTATTCACTTAATTTGAATTTTCGCATCAAATTGCTCAATACAACTTTGGTAGTTCTCGTTTCACTTAATTAGTGAATCTGAATTGTCAAATCAGAAATGCCCTTTGTTATATTGGTTATTGTTTCAATTTTTAACATGTTTGTTATTTGGCAGCGTTGATGGTGCATAAACGGTTTGACGTTAATCAAAAAGACATCATGGATCAATATTTTCTCGGATTTAATTAAAAGCGAAGTGAATTTCTCTCTTTGATGGCCTCAAAAACTGGTGATAGGTTTTCTCAAGAAATGCAACAAAAAGGTAATGGTGTTCAGCAAGAAGTCGAGGCAAATGACTGCAAAAATGTGTCTTCAATTGATTCTAAATTGTCTGCAAATTTTTCGTCTGGAAAATCTGATTCAAATATCTCTTCGGCCTATATTGAGCAAGTGTCGACGGCTGTAGATTCGGAAGTAAATGAGATTAGCTCACAAGAAAGTTCTGTTGATCAAGGAAAGAAAACAAATGAGCACGGGAGCGTGAAAAATAGTTCAGTGTCGGCAAATGTTAGTGATGGTGGTGATCATGCCAATTTTGTCGAGAGCGGAAAGAACAGTACACGTCGAGGAAGCACGGGCAGTGATGTAAGTGACGAGAGCACGTGTAGCAGTTTTAACAGCAGTGTCAGCAAACCCCACAAAGCAAATGATTCAAGATGGGAAGCCATCCAAGCAGTCCGATCCAGAGATGGTGTCTTAGGTTTGACTCATTTCAGACTGCTGAAGAGATTAGGCTGTGGAGATATTGGGAATGTTTATTTGGCCGAGTTGAGTGGAACGACATGCTACTTCGCCATGAAAGTCATGCACAAAGCATCCCTCGCAGGTCGTAAGAAGCTTCTCCGTGCTCAGACGGAAAGGGAGATATTACAGTCCCTGGATCATCCCTTCCTTCCAAGTCTCTACACCCACTTTGAAACTGACAAGTTTTCGTGTCTGGTTATGGAATTCTGCCCTGGTGGAGATTTACACAGTCTTAGACAGAGGCAGCGGGGAAAGTATTTTTCCGAACAAGCAGTAAAGTATGACTTTTTTCCAGACTATATCTAAAGTTATCTAAAGTTTAATTGGAAAACTTCAATGCTCCTTTTTTTTTAGATAATCTGTATTCTTGAAAATATCTGAAATACATACCCAAACTCTCTTTTTAAAATCATAGTTGTCAAGTTTATACTTCCGGCTTATATATCTCAATATTATTTTGAAGTTTAAAGCATCAAGTGTTTTGTAGTGCATCAAAATCAATATTACGACTCCCGCCATATTTTTCTCGTAGAATTGTCATCGTCTTCCTCTCTCCAACTATCAGATGTTATAATCACTTCTCTGCTTCCAGTTCTTATATAAACTCATTTCCTGAACTGAAATCTCTCTTTTATTTTCAAATTTTTGATCTCATGACGCTGCAACTTGGGAGATTAGGGAAATAAGCTGTGATGCATTACTAAAACTTTGTCATCCCATTATCTTGTAAAGTTCTCAATTTGTAAATTGAATCTTCGCAAAATTGTCTCTGCCAAGTTTGCAAAATTGTCTTCTATCAAGTTCCCCAATTACATATATACAAGCAATCTGTTTCATTGCACATGATATAAATGATCTCACTACAAACTTATTCTTCTTCTTTCAGTCAAAATTCCAGTTTGTTCAGAAATTTTAACTATGTGAAATGTTGTACAGGCTTTTAATATTTTTCTATGTTTCCATATGGTCCGACATCCTTATGAAATTCATATCTTAGACGTTTAATAAGCTTACTATCAGGTCATTAAGGATCCAAGATGTAACAGTCATTTCAGTCGTGAAATTGTATTGGTTTGTTCATGTTAAGTGAAATAAGGACAAGCCATCCTTGGTTTAATCTCTTACTCTGTGATAAAATCCAATTTGTGCTTGTGGTCATCGTTGATCTAATGAGTACCTTTCATCTGAAATTTTTGTTATTAACATAGAAGTCTATCGTGGATCGAAAGAACTTGACATGTCTTATTTTCATTTTCTTGGTGGCAGATTCTATGTGGCAGAAGTCCTGCTGGCTCTGGAATATTTACACATGCTTGGGATTGTATATCGTGACCTTAAGCCAGAAAACGTCCTAGTGAGGGAAGATGGACATATAATGCTCTCAGATTTCGATCTTTCACTTCGTTGTATTGTCAGCCCAACATTGGTCAAGACCTCATCGTTGGAATCCGAGACCCTGCGTAAAAAATCTGTCTATTGCGCCCAGCCAGCTTGCATTGAACCTGCCTGCATTCAGCCATCGTGTGTGGTTCCAACATCATGCTTCTCTCCTCGTCTCTTTTCAAGAAAATCCAAAAAGGATGGGAAGCCCAAGAATGAAATTGGAAACCAAGTTAGCCCATTACCTGAGCTGATGGCTGAACCAACCAATGCTCGGTCAATGTCATTCGTGGGAACTCATGAATACCTGGCACCTGAAATCATCAAAGGTGAAGGACATGGAAGTGCAGTGGATTGGTGGACTTTTGGGATTTTTCTATATGAACTTTTGTTTGGCAAAACTCCGTTTAAAGGATCTGGCAATCGAGCCACATTGTTTAATGTTGTCGGACAACCTCTCAGATTTCCAGAATCACCCATTGTTAGTTTTGCCGCCAGGGATTTGATCAGGGGTTTGCTTGTGAAAGAACCACAACACAGATTAGCTTATAAAAGAGGTGCAACTGAGATTAAGCAGCACCCTTTCTTCGAGGGAGTTAATTGGGCATTGATACGTTGTGCTACCCCTCCCGAGATTCCAAAACCTGTCGAGTTTGAACAGTTACCTGTTCCAGCAGCAATAAAAAACGAGAAAACTGCTCTTCCCGTAGCCAGTCCAGATAAAAAAAGTGACAAATATCTTGAGTTCGATTTCTTCTAGGTAATAATGGTGTTATTGGAATCTTTATGGGTTGTGCTCCGTCTACTATGATTCTGTACCTTCTTCTTTTAACAGCGTGAAGGTCAGAAAATTGTGACCAGGCTTCTTGCTGTCTTTAAGAGTCAATAAGCCTATCTATGAATGCTTGGAAGGGGTCTCGGGGAGGTCCTTGGTTACAATACTATCTCTTTTTTCGATTAAATAGAACTTTTCCGTTTCACGGAAGTTTCAGAAATACGGAATTCAAACACATGAAACAAGTTTGTGATATTAGTAGGTTCATTTGCATTGCATTTGGCCACCGGATGAACTTCACTATTAGGAGTGTTTTGTACAATTTCTTGAAGATATTCTTGAATTTAAGACATTGTAGGGCCTAAGATTAGATGCACCCCTCAAGTTTGTAGCCTCTCTATCTGAATTCTGGTGTATATGTATGTGCTGACACTAAAACCAATCATGTCGTCATTTGTTGTACTTTTGGTTTATACCAAAAAGGATAATCCAAGCATTTTATGTTTTCTAAAAATCTATGTTGTCCCATTTCTAGTTGATTCTTTTTTCATTCTCTTTTGTTGTGCAGAAATCCTCTGAATGTCATATCGTTGATGACATTGTGTTGCATCTTAGATATGTAGATTTGTGAACTAAATTGCGTGGCGAAAAGGAATTCGTGTATTAATCTTAAATATATTGAGAACTAATATGTGGTCATTGTGGGTTGCTGGTCACAGAAAGTATAGTTGCGTTTATAATTTGAGATTAACCATAACAATAAGTTCTGAAAATTAGGACATAAAAATTAATATTAAAACATTCTTTTATCAAACCCAACAATAGCTTAAATCTCTAAATCGTCACTTCTATCCAAAGAGAAGAAAAAGGAAAGTACTTTCAAGGAGTTAAATAAAATTAAATGTCGAATTAAACACAAGGAAGAAAAACCCACAAAATTTGCCTCAAACCCTGCACAGTCTTATCATAAACATCTCGATAAAGCATGTTTCGCAAGCAGGACTAGAATTTATGTTTTGTACACAATAAGTTCTGACATTTCTTTTTTCCACATGGAAACAAACATACTAGATTGGAATTACAAACTATTCTTTAGTCGAACATAAAACAATCTTTGGCAGCAGATAAAGCTCTTCAATATCAATCAGCAAATGAGCCTGAAAGTGAGATTAATTCTTACTGCTGCTGCTTTAACACGCTTAGGCACTGAGTGGACCCAATCCCTTTGGGTGTAGCCTCGCATTACCAGAAGAGAGCCATGCTTTAACACGAATGAACGTTGGTCTGAATCATTATTTTTCTTTGTCCGCTTGCTGGGAGGATCACCCCCATTTTCTTTAGCTGGCATAAAAGCAAAATAAAAATAAAAAATGAACATTATAATATGGACAGATTTATGTCGTTGCAACTGAAATTGTTCCTAAATCCAGTCATGGGCACTACGTCTTTGAAACCAAAAAGTAAGAAAAAAGGTAATATATCCTAACTTGTTTGGGAGCAAACGAACATGCTCATAGTCAAACCAAAAGGATAAGTTGGTCGATCGTACCGTGAACTGTTGTTTTACTGGGTTTCTTCTTTAAGAAGAAATCACGTTCACATCCAAATGAAACCGAAGCAATTTCTGGAGTCGGTCCATAAAGTTTCTCATCATCAGCATGCCAACCAACATGGTCGTTGCCTCCTTTATACCTATTTAACAGTAAGCTATTGAACTTACTTCCGGGAAGCGCTTTATGAACCTACAAAGCAACATTTATATGGTTCTGTTAGAGTTAAACGTCCCAAACCTTCACATAACCTAAGATTTGATGCATGTAAAATTACGAGAAAGCAACCTCACCAAATCCAAGATCTCCTTAAGGGGAGGAAATTCATCCCAAGAATATGCATGAGGCTGATACCCACTATAAACTAGGTCCGGAAATCCTTCACTTGCAACATAACACGTATCTCTGGGCTGTACAAAGGAATTTCTAGGAAATTAACAATCTGTTCTTCACATAAGCAATATCAAAGATAACAAAATCGGGATAAAACACCAATTTGATATCAGAAAGGATAACATGACTAATTTTATTTCTTTAATTTAAGCTGAATAGCTTGGAGCTTAGTGTAAGATGCTTACGGCTACTAAATATAACATCTTTATAGTTTATAATTGCTCACCGTGGCTTATATGAAACTAAAATAACCTATTAGCTTTAAGCAAACACTAAGCTTTACAATATGTTCCCCTAAGTTTTCCCCTTCGCAACACATTTCACCTGATCCTATGACCATTTCTCTTCCTTTGCAAATTTCACGTTCCCTCATCCTCAGCCTGCAGTCGGTTCCCTTTCCATTACACTTTGTTGTGAGAGAATAAAGAACAATTCTTTTACAATATCACCAATTACATAGCGAAGGTAAGGGACTGGCGCTGATCCTTTCTTCAAAATTGCATTAGAAGCATAGAATTCATATTTGAGTACCCGGCCGTAAACTTCACGGCCCGTGGAATTAGTCGAGGTGCGCGCAAGCTGGCCCGGACATCCACGGTTATAAAAAAAAAAAAGAATACATACACATGTAACCCCATGTGGCATCCGTTCACCCAAATATTTATTTTCTTATATTTATCATTATTCATAAAATGATTCCAATGGTATTTTTCATATCAAACAGAGAGATTGAAATTCTTCAAAGGGAGAGTGCCATTATCAGTATTATCTTTTAGAGGGATATAATGCTAAATATTCCTTGTAAAATACAAATCTGTTCCACAATATTCTAACAAAAAGTCATCTATTATATTTCTTTTTTAATTAATCATTCGATTCCCCTGATTTTTTCTAGTTTTATTATACATTACATGGCGCAACTTATTTTCTTCCAAAATTAACCAAAAAAATCCACTCAGACATAAATCGTCAAGAAATTTACTCAAAACAGTAACTAGGAGACAACTATACAAATATAAATAGGAAAAACTTTGCGAGAATATATACTAGTACACTATAGAGAAAGAAAAACGGGAGAGCAGGACCTGGATACAGGAGCGTCCGAATACACAGACTGTGGGTCGGGTCCATGGGATGTTCTTATCAAGGTAATGGAAATAATCCCAGGAATTTTGGTAAGACAGGAATTTTGGCGTGTACAGAACTTGGCTTCCATTTCCTAAATCTATCACAGTCATTCCATTTGTTTTCTCTACTGTCGATTCTTCCGGGTCTTGGTTTGGATCCGGATCCGGATCCAAATGGTTAGTCGGTTCACGTTCTGTTGTTTTCAGCTTCAACATGCTCGCAATCATTTTGCGGTCGAGAGAGATAGAGAAGTGGAAAGAAGAGATTTAAAAGGCATTAATAATTCTAATTTCTAATTGTTACCGGGGTTGGACTATGCTCCCCAACCTTTTTACAAATGCCATTATAGATCCACAACCTTTAAATCTACTACTTCCGCTTGATCAAAATCGTTATCACAAATGATTAAATAGTAACTAACTTTCATGTGACTTAAAATTGAAAAAAAAAAAAGAACTTTCAAATCTCTTGACATTTCTCTTCAATTCAACTTAAAGCCATGTTCAATTTAAAGTTCCACATTAACCGTTCAATCACCTGATGACCCAAATTTACATATTTAAATAGACCGGGAACTCAAAAACCTCATTTTTTAAGGTTGGAAGACTCGTAACCACACCGCACTAATTCGCCGATGTACGTATTCACAAAATTCCAAGAATGATGTGAACAAATTTCATCAGTGTATATCGACCCCTAGAGAATATTTGAAGAGTAAACTGTTCACTACAGCAAGGTTAGGTAAGAAGTTTGAATTTTTTTCATTGAAGCTAAACACAATTCCTAGTTATTGCAAGAACCATAACACTTTCAAGAAACATTAAAATGCAGTAGGAAACCAACGCGACAGTAAAACAATATGCACTTACATGACCTTGACCAAAATACAAAAGAGAAATCTAAGTTATAACTATGACCCAAGATACAGTAGATACAGTAGAATATGCGACGTATTGTAACTTTACATGAAACCTAAGAAGAAACAAAACATTTACTCAATTGCTCCCAATTAGCACTGCCCATGTCCTCATCTTTGTATCCTCCATGCTACTACATCTCTACTGTGTCCTATAATTTACTGAAGTCTGAAGGGAAACGTTACATCTATTCAACAGGGTCAACTAGGGTTCCCAAGGGATACAATTTTTACCCTAATCATCTGACTTTATCAAGAAAGATTACTCTATGTTGTCATCTAATGTCAGCTTCTCAGTACTGCACCAATTTGGATCATTGCATTGTGAACACCCAAGTGTGTTGCAGTTAAAATTTACACCCTACGGCTTCATTGCAGAAGTATTTGCCTTTAAACTTATTTGCCTACTCGGTGCTTCCATGTGTTCTGCAATAAACAAAAACATCATGAGTATGCAGAAATCACTTGTATCAACAATGAATATAAATAGTATGCCAAGTGCAAGGCCAGTGTGAGTACAAGAGGCTCATCATCAGAAAACTCCGCGAGGAGAAAATCAGAAGGTGGAGTCCCCTTTCCAGGTTTATTTGACGCATGTGGATGACTATTAATGTCATCAAATTGACTGCCTTGAGAATCTGATTCTACCATTTCTTCTTCTTTGGATTCTGCAGCATTACTTGAGCCATCCTCAGCATCTTCCATTTGTTTCTCATCCGAAACTGACCCCTCATCTTTGTCAGAATGCTCTTCATCAGCTGAACTCTTTTCAAATATTTCATTTGGTTCCTCTGAATTGTCAAGAGGAGAAAAGTTAACAGAACACCTATCTATACTGCTCTTGGTAAGAAAAAGAGTAAATAGAAAAGACAAATTAGAAGCACTTTTTAAATTTAAAGCAACTTCCAACCTCGGAGATCTTGAGCTGGAAATTTCACAGCTATTCACAACAAATGATTTACATGTCGAGGTAACAGAACATGAGATTTCATTATAGGTTTTGGAGATCAGTGAGTATTTGGAAATTTCAGCTTACAATTATAGGCTTCAGTTAATGGTTTAAATGTTTATTGTCTCGGCAGTAATCTTACTACAAAATGAAATGTAAAATATCACAACATAACAAATTGACTAATTAAATCTTTCATGGAGAATCTTGTTTCCAAATGATTACATCCCAAGCCAAGTTTGAAATCTAGTTTGTATTTATACAAGAAAATAAGAACGAGTGGTGTATGGTTCACTTGGCAAGTAAACTTAACCTCAGGGTTTTGCTGTAATGTCCAGCTGAATAGTTTATGAAATGGACATATTATATTACAAAACTATACATTCTGTCAGAAAATGTATCGCCTATTTAAAGAATGGCAAAATGTAGTTATAGAGAAAAGAAAGAGAAAAAATGATCAGGAAATCCCACGTGCTCAAAATTCCTTTGAATTACCATCTTTTGATTTTAACATCAGAAAGCAGTACATATCACTAAATTTTTAATTCAAAAGAAACAAAATGTAAAAATAAAATCTTTCACCTGATTCCACATAATCAAGACTGGACTTTGTGGAAGATTCAGGTTGTGTAACAACTGGGCTTCCCCCCCTCTTGGCAGAGGATTTACTCTTCCATACACCCTTACGTATCTGCTCCACTTTCTCTTTTGTAGATCGTTTCCTTCTTGTTAGAGATGGAGGGGATCTGCCAGTCAATGCTGTACATAAGCTGATGATGAACCAAAAACAAAAATATTTCAAGCTCGATTGGAACGCAACAGCTGACTTACACTGTAGACATTTTTTTATCTTCTCTAGAGCTTCCTATCGATTTCCGTTTATTCCCAGATGATCTGCAAAGTTAATGAAAAGATAAATTTCCCACATAGCTTTCTATGCTAACGCAACAGGAGCGTGAAGAGAAATAAACAATTAAGTAAATGAACATTACAAAAAATACATGTGATGATAATAAATCGCTTTTCTACAACCATGGACACAACCATGATTTGAGAAGATGCAGTTTTCTATGTATTGCCTCTGTTCGGGATTCATTTTCTTCTCCTTAAATTCTACTTTCCAAAATCGAATATTAATCTTAAAAATACATTTTGTAGGACCCATAAGTACTATCCACTTAACAACCATTCTTTTTTTTTTTTGAAAACTAGAATCATCCGAGCCATAGAATATCTCAATTCTGACACAAGGTACTTAATAGATCGAATGAACTTAATGAAAAAGGGATAAGATAAATAATTGGAGAATTAAATAGGCTTTTTGAGGTTTTAGCAACAAAAAATGAAAACCAAACAGAGGCATCAACTAATCAAGCATTTGACTACACCTTTGTTGAAGATAATGACAGCAAGTGTATATGCTAAATGGCAGTTCAAGAAAATTTTGATCCATCAAGCCAGAATTTTAGCCCCCTATTTGGGCTCCATTAAAATGAGATTTTGGGGGAAAATGTGTTTTGGAATAGTGATTTTTGGGAGAATGTGTGGTTAAAAATAAGAAAGAGTTTTGGGTTTACGTGAAATATTATTTTATAAGAGAATGTATGGTTGAAAATGAGTCTGAAAAAATGCATGTGAGAAAGTGAAGCCAAAACAGGGGCTTAATGTTCAAGGAAAATGAGCTCCCAATTAGATTTGTTCAGATACATCTGGAGGCTTCAGCAAATCGTAAAATATGCCCAACTCTATGTAGCTTGGGGCATTATATGACGGCAGCACTTACACTCCTTTAGGATGGGAACCCTTCAACGTATTTGACCACTGCAAATGGAGTTAAAAACCTTGTTAGATCTTAAGCCACAATGTTTACTCTAATGACAAACCAGGAAATAGTACACTTTCAATGGAAAATAATTGAAAAATTAGACCTTCACAGCTTTTTGGCCGTTGTCAACAAGCTCCCAGCGCTCCTTGTCTAATCGTAGAACTTCTACATCCCCATCATCGTACAATATCTTCGCAATAAATTAATTAGTAAAATTTACAACACAGTGAACAATGAGAAAGCTATCTAGGGTAAAATTGGCAAACAATTTACTATAGAACCATGATGGAAAATGAGCCAGCAAATTGCAGCTTACCACGTGCTTCTTTTTCTGGGAATCAAAAGACTTCACAACACCTTCGTAGAACCTGTAAAGTTTTGAGAGTTTACGAGATCTTAAAGCAGCATACTCAGCATAGAAAGAGAGAACATATGATAAATAAAATTCTTATTTGCAGTCGGTAAAATTGTAGGTTCTATCAATGTTAAAATTGCAGGATCAGTATCAAAAGATAATGGATAGATAGACAGACTGACTTTTTGGATAGAGAGTTCTTTAGGAGGTGATCTTGTAAAGTGAAGGTCAACAACGAATCACACCGAGAGAAGTCTTTTACTGAAGGTCCAGTGAAGCATAATTACTGAAGTTAGAAAGATCTCCTTAATATTTGTAGCCCCATTAGAAAGAAAATGAAATGAAAAAATAAAGACAAATTAGGGACTTTGGTCATTTTACATGGCTTGATATTACACCTTTCTTGGATCCAAATTTCAAAGAATGGGCTGAGTGGGAGTAATTTTTGAGAAATATTCAAAAGCATACTGGTACGAAGAATGATTTGATGCTCAAAGAAATTACATCCAATATCTGAAACTCCCAATCAATCACTCACTTTTTATCTGATGGCCACCAAACTTTTATTATGCAACCAATCAAGTCTGCCATGGAACTTCCATTGTCCCTCAATGCGCTCTAAAGAACAAAGGGAACTAGCATCAAAACTGAGTCATATTCAAGAAAATAGAACTTGTGAGGAAAAATAATGCATCTAATCATTGATCAATAAGTAGTAGTAGTTATGTTAATAATAATAAAACTTGTTGACCTCAGAAAACGAACTCAACAGATGCCGAACCCACTCATGCATACGTAAGCCATATCCAGCACGTTAAGACGGATCTACGGTCGAGATCACTCCAAAGATTGGACCTGGGAACAACTCAACAACATGAGTCGTTTCCGTTCAGACTCCGGCAGGATTTATGGAACAGGATGGTCTAATAATCAATCGATAAGAGCAAGATTTTTAGTTGTAATAAACTGATCCCAGAATAAGATATGTTGTTTTGAGTATTTGAAGTTTCATTAGCCCTCAATTGTTATATGGTGGGGGTATTTATAGTGTTACAAATAAAATGGTGACCCTTGGATCAACTTACACGTGGCCTCATCTCCTCGGCCAAAGCATCAAGTCCTAGCCATCAAGTTGACCTTCTTAGCTTTACAAAACATTAAATGCTGACAAGACAAAACATACACACTTTTTACTAATATCACATCAGTCATTTAAATAAAGATCTTCATCATGAACAAATCTTTGCACGTGGATCTGCTAGGTCTCGAAGGCATGCCACCTCGATTTTGTCCAGGGCCTCGAAATGTCCACCTCGGATTGAGTTGAATCGGCATAGTACAGGCTGGAACGACGTCCCCCTCGACCATCTGCCACTGAACCAGAACCAGGACTCCTTCCATGCCTTTATGGAAGATGGGAGCCCCACTACGAAAGGGGCATGAGCCCCCCAAGGGGTGATGTAGTACCACCCCTTAGAGTCATCCTTCCCAACAACCCGACTCTGAAAAATTGTTTGAAAAACATGCAGGGGCATGTCCTCTCCTAAAGAGACCTCCTTCCAAAGAAAGTAGGCCCCAACTAACTGGCTCCACCTGTTTGGCAAAATTTGGGTGGGCCACAACATGAGGTTCCTCAACACTGCCCTAAAGAAGGGGTGCAAAGGTAGACGCACTCCTGCCTTTAGCAGAAATTCGCTAATGGCCACACACCCATGCCTCGGAAAACATGCCCGTTCGTGGACCTCAGGAACTAGCAATTCTACGTAATGGGGTATGCAATATGTTTCCCTAAGTTCTGCTAATTTTGAGGAAGTTATGGAAGATGGGATTTTGGTAGCCCCCCAATCAGCCTCGTCATCTATAGGCTCCTCGGTCATGCTATACCACTCCTCTTACCTCCCAGAAACTGACCTTCTTCGATCCTTGCCACAGTAATGGCCATGCAAGCCTCGGAAGACATAAATGTTTGAACAAAAAAAAAAAAGATGAAAGTCACAAGAACCTAGGGAAATACCTAAACAGGTGAAGGTTCAAAGGACTCGCTGGAGATTGATCGCCAGAAGACTTGACAGAAAACTTGGGAGAATGCGAAGGATACTTTGCAAAGGTAAAACTTTCAAATGGCAAAATTTTGGCTTTTATACGTACAAAGGATTGAATCCCAACCATTGGATCATTTCATCGGAAGCGTTCAAACCTATGTTCAATCCAAACCACAGAATCCAAACGGATTATACTATCAACACTTCAGATTTAATCGTGGGCCTCACGCATTGGCCATGGCGCGTAAGCATTCCTCAAGAATTACGCATGCCCACCTTGGAAATAGGTAAAACCGCCAAATCACGTGCACCAATACCAAAACATTAATGATTCAAAAACTCCATTCCAGCATTAAGATGCTTCATAAAGAATTTTAGCTTCAAATAAGCTTTCAGCCTCAGCCAGTTCAACTCTGAACTCGCCTCTGCTTCATCAAGAATTTCAGCCTCGGCCAGTTCAACTCTGAACTCTCCTCCGCTTCATCAAGAACTTCAGGAAGCAGGGTTCATTTCACTTTTTCAAATTCCATGCGTGACATAAACAATCACCCATGGACTTGGGGGATTAGAATGGTGAAGTCCAAATTTCAAAAATTTTCAAAATTTTACTGAAGTCCACACATGACATAAATAATCACACATGGACTTGGGGGACTATTGTTACGAGTGTTACTAAGGACTGCCACATGGGCATCAAAGACCACGTGGCCATCAAAAGTAGGATAGGGGACCCGATTCAACTCAATCCGAGGTGGACATTCCGAGGCCCTGGACGAAATCCGAGGCCCACTGATAATCCAAGGTGGCATGCCTTCGAGACCTAGCGGATCCACGTGCAAAGATTTGTTCATGATGAAGATGTTTATTTAAATGACTTATGTAACATTAGTAAAAAGTGTCTATGTTTTGTCTTGTCAGCATTTAATGTTTTGTAAAGCTAGGAAGGTCAACTTGATGGCTAGGACTTGAAGCTTTGGCCGAGGAGATGAGGCCACGTGTAAATTGATCCAAGGGTCACTATTTCATTTGTAACACTATAAATACCCCCACCATGTAACAATTGAGGGCTAATGAAACTTCAAATACTCAAAACAACATATCTTATTCTATGATCAGTTTATTACAACTAAAAATCTCGCTCTTATCGATTGATCATTAGACAATCCTGTTCCATAAATCCTGCTGGAGTCCGAACGGAAACGACTCATGTTGTTGAGCTGCTCCCACGTCCAATCTTTAGAGTGATCTCAACCGTAGATCCGTCTTAACGTACTGGATATAGCTTACGTATGCATGAGTGGATCCGGCATCTGTTGAGTTCGTTTTCTGAGGTCAACAAAGCTTATGACAGTTCTTGCATTATGAGATAATGTGAGATCTAGACATTGTGAAAGCAAGTCAATTGAATCTCAATTTTTCATTACAAGATAATGTAGTTTTCAAAATGCATACATGTTACCATGTACTCCTATAAACATGTTTAATAAGCATGCATAACTATACAGTATAAACAAGCAAATTTATGAGAAGCCAAAAAATGAGAAACAGTTTGAGTAGCATAATTTAGCATTTAAGTCTATATTCATAAGAATTAAAGTTCAAATGAAATTACAGAAAGAGATAGCATAAGCTGACCTTAGCCAACTCAGCAACATTTTTCTGTTTTCTCTTCTTTGTAGATCCCAACTTGGGATTACTGATTGAAAGTTTGCTATCAGCTTCCATCACTTTCTTCTTCTGCGGCATTGGAAGAAAAATAAAAAAAGACACATTTAATCATCAATAGAACTTCTTATGTGGCTATCAAATTTATATATGGAATCATTTACCTTAACATCATGGTTGGAACGATGATGTGCCTCACCATGATCACTATCAGAGCGTTTGCTTTTCTGATTTGCGGAGCCAGATTTCTTCCTAATACATGAGACCAACAAGTCCGACTCTGCAGGTTCAGTAATATTTTCTTGAATAAATTCATCTTCTGAACCAATTTGAAATTCATCATTCATTTCAGTAAAATCAAATGCGAGTGCCTCCTGAATTTCATCATCAACTGGCATTGTATTACTCTTTGAAGTAACCTTTGAGGCAGAAAACGTTTGACCCTGAGCAGATGATGATCTCCTCCGTTTTGGTAAGGGAACACCTGTTGATTCACTACAGACCTTTTTCCTCTTCTGAGCCTTACTATCACTTCTATATTTTTTATGAACATATTCATGGCCATTGCTTGATTCAAACTTTCTGGTTATGCCTAAACTATCTGAACTTATTTCCTTCACCATTTTCAAAATATCAACATCATTTTCATTTTCCACTCCAGCCAGTGCAGACTCATTCTTTGCCTCTTTTCTTGCCTTTGCTCCCTTAGCTTTTAGTTGTTTCATCATTTTACTCAAAGGCATCTCACTGCCCTCCGTTTCGCTGTCCATGCCCCCATCGTCCACAGCTTCCGAAATCTGAAGTCGATAAAGTGCCAGTGATTAAATTAGTCAAGGAGTACAAGTCGGAACACCAATTTTTCATTATGTGGAAGTGCTTTTCCAAATCTTACAGTTCCATTAGCTTCCAACTTGACTAACTCGAAGTGGGCCAAGATACTGTCATCTGCCAACCATGTATTCCCTTCATCCACCTAGAAGAAATATAAAAATGTATGCAACATGCATAGAAACCGTAAATAGGGAGATGGTCAAGAGGCTATAATTGTATGTTGACCAAAAAACTTCAGAAACGATACCAATATGCTCAATTGCCCAATGAAATCACAACATCATATATTGTTAAAATTGGCATGTTTCATGAATGAAATCAAATAATTGTATGGCAATAACATTTTCATAGTGTAACTTGATAGTTGATACTTTAACAATGAGTTTACAAAAATAAAAAGGAGGTGCAAACAAAAGCTTATAAAATACTGAGGTCACTAGAGAAGCAAAACAATGATGCAGTGTGTGCTATGTTTTCAATGAACCAAAAGTATTCGGTTGAGCGAACTCAAGAGAGGCATGAAGGTAGACTCAAAAGGATCCATCAAAAGAAGTAACATCATTCAGCCATTTGCATCTGCACAACAAACATCAGACCTAACCATGTATAAGAGGAGCAGACAACTCTTCCTCTTGCTAGGTATTCACTCTAGAAAACATAAAAATGGAGTTTGATGATACATACCAGCGGCTCATTTCCTTCTCTATTCTCATGTGGTTTGTATAGCACTGGAGGCAGGTTCACTAGCGCATTTAAGTCTTGAACATCATCTTTTTGGGGGGCTAATCGCTTAATGATTGATAGACCAAGGTCGCACAGAGCATATGAGTTCTGAAAATACACATTACTGTTTTAATTTTGACAGTCCTTTTCCAATGACCAATAATTAAATTATTCCAGGGCACCCATTTTGGGTCCCTTTTTATCTGAGTTATGAAGGGTAGGGGAAATGTCCAGTGTTGTTAACACAAAGAAATTCTTTGACAATATATGGCTAAAAGGAGAAAATATAAACCTAATAGCATTTAGTACCCAACCTTTGTCTTAGTTGCATCAAAAGCATCTTCAGAGCGCTTGATATACAGAAACATTGACTTCATTAAAGAAATACTCTCTCCGTCTCTGTCAATGCTGATATCAGATTTACCGTCTTCACCTCCATGCAATAGCATAGACAGGAATAAATACAATTGCCTGAAAATGTTCAAGACAACCTTAATCCACAACCAAGTAGCATTATAAAAAAATCTTCTAAGATTTATTTAAATGGCTGAAGTTTTCATGGTCCAACGTAAGGGTTACAAGAGAACTTGATTTTAAACTGACAGACCCACCACTTCATACAGTGCAGTTTAAGAAATCTCATCGAGATTTCCACACATTCAGAACTGCAATTTCATTGTCCAGTGTACAGGTTCAAGAAAATTTGATTTTCAACGGACAGACCCACCACTTCATGCAGAGCAGTTTAAAAACTCTTGCAACATTTTCCATGCCACCCAACAATTTTATAAGATTGTTTTTACACGCACATATACATCGACAGAGATTGCTCTCTTAAACAAACTATATAAGTTCATAGATAAATGTAATATTGACTCGATCTCCAATTGTTCTTAAACAACTTTCACCATCTAGATTCCACGAGAATGCTATTTCATACTGTGCTAGAATTAGTCAATACTTCATATAAATAGAAAAAAAAAACTATATTGTCAGCTTAGCGGAGAAGAATCATCCATAAACTCACTACATTTTAATACAAAGATAATTATGAAAATTTCAACTTTTCATGGGTTGCCGTGTCAATAAGATTGAAGATCGACAAAGATTCCGAAGATTACGTCTACCATAAATACCAATATAAACTTGATTGTAAATTATTGTAATTAGTCTTGTTACCATAATTAGGTTGTACACGTTCTCTATTTAATGAAAGGATCCTCAAACGAGGAAGGGCACGAAGCCTAATTTTGTCATGGTATCAGAGCCATTCCTTGACATCTTCCACTGTTCTTGAGTTTTCCAGCATCTCTGTAGTGGGTTTCGGTGAGTAATCGACTCTATTCCTGCGTCCTGTGTGTGGGCTCGAAGTAATTTCGAGCAATTGGTGGGCAATCGATTGCGTGCACCTGTTGGGTCAGCGTCGCCATTTCCGATCCGACGTTTCTAGTGTGTAATCAACGTGATTCATGTGTCCCGAGAGTGGGCTCAAAGTGATTTCGAGCATTTGTGGCTGGTCGACTGTGTGCGTGTGTTCTGGCTGCGTCATCTATGTCGACTTCCAGTTGAGGGTGTTTGGTCCTGTGTTGAAAGTGGGCTTGTGTTTGGGTAAGTGTGACATAAACGATTGGGTCATCCCAACGCTTTAATTTTATCTCATTTGTTGAAGTGTAATTTTTTGCTTAATAAAGTGCAGTTTCAGTTTTCAAATTTGTCTTTCGATTGTGATACTTGTAAACTTGAAAAAAGTAACTCTTCCATTTCCATCTCATGGTAGTCGTGCTCATAAGTGCTTAGATATTATTCATAGTGATGTTTGGGGAGTGGCACCTGTAACTTCACATGCTCATTATAAGTACTTTGTGACGTTTATTGATGATTTCAGTCATTACACTTGGGCATATTTTCTGTGGTCTAAAAGTGAGGTCGGTACTATTCTTCAGAATTTTATAGCTTACGTTGAGACACAATTCTCCTCTAGTGTTCAAATCTTGAGGACTGACAACTGCAGGGAATATATGTCTCATCAGTGTCAATCATTCTTACAACAAAAGGATATTCTCTCTCAATGCTCTTGTCCATATACCCCTCAACAGAATGGAGTGGCAGAACAAAAGAATCGTCACCTCTTGGATGTTGTTAGAGTTTTGCTCTTAGTCTTCAGTTCCATCCAAGTTTTGGGTCGAAGCGCTTTCCATAGCGGTATATCCGATTAATCGACTTCCTGCTCAACATTTGAATTTTGCCTCCCCTTATTTCGCCTGCACGGTACACATCGTGGCTATGACATGTTACATACTTTTGGTTGCGTTTACTTTGTTCATCTACCTTCTCATGAACGTCATAAGCTTGATGCTCAATCTGCACGGTGTGCTTTTTTGGGTTACAGCATTGCTCAGAAATGTTTCATTTGCTATGATGGTGTTGCTAATCGATTTCGTACCTCTCGCAATGTGATTTTTTTTGAGAATCAGTACTACTTCCAACAACAAGTTTCATCTTCTGATTTGGTTCCGCTTATTAGCTTTGTGCATGATTCTGGTTCCGTGGAGCATTTTAAACCGGGTGTGGTATATCAGAGACGGCGGCCCCCCACACCGACAGCCTCTTCTTCTTGCTCCCGATCCCGATCCCATTCCAGATTCCACTATTCTTCGGCGATCCACTCGGGTTACTCATCCTCCTGATCGGTATGGCTTCTCTGCAACTTTATCTCACTTCATAGTTCCTACTTCTTATTCAGGCTGCTACTCAACCCTGTTGGGAGAAAGCTATGCAAGAGGAACTTCAAGCTCTTCAGAAGAATCACACATGAGATCTTGTTTCTTGCCCTCCTGGTGTGAGACCTATTGGGTGCAAATAGGTCTGCTCTGTTAAGCTTCGATCTTATGGAACGCTAGAACGATATAAAGCTCGGTTGGTGGCTCTTGGGAATCGTCGGACAATGGGGTGGATTATGAGGAGACATTTGCTCCTATTGCTAAAATGACGACGGTTCGTACCATTGTGGCTATAGCTACTGCCAGGGGTTGGCCATTGCGACAAATGGATGTCAAGAATGCTTTCTTACATGGTGTTCTTAAGGAAGATATTTATATGACACCTCCTGCGGGACTCTTTTCGTCGCTATCTTCTGATGTGTGTAAACTACGACGTTCGCTTTATGCGCTGAAGCAGGCTCCTAGTGCTTGGTTTGATAAGTTTCGTTCTACTCTCTTGGGTTACTCCTTTACTCAGAGCAAATATGACTCGTCTCTCTTCATCTCGACCACAGACGGGGGTACTGTGTTTCTTTTAGTCTATCTTGATGATATTGTTATTACTGGTACTAATTCTGGAATGATCTCTCACCTTCAAACCCAATTAAAAGATTCTTTCCATATGAAGGATCTGGGCCCCTTGCAATATTTCTTAGGTCTTGAGGTGCTTTCAAGCCGTGCTGGAACTTATATACATCAGCACAAGTATTTGGAGGAGTTGATTACTTTGGCTGGACTTCGCGATGGTCGCTCGGTTGATACTCCTTTAGAGGTGAACGTGAAGTATCGTCAGGAGGAAGGGGATCTCCTTCTTGATCCTTCTCTATATCGTCAGTGAGTGGGTCGTTTGAATTATCTCACTATTACTCGACCAGATATCTCTTTTGCCGTCCAAC